CTCCACATCCATCAACAACTTCAAGTGCCGTTGGACAACAGTACAAGACACAGCCTCGTCTCAGAGGATTCCACCTTGCCAGATCATCCTCACCTTGTGACACCATGCAAAGTTGACACACCTCAGGCAAGGCTAAGAGGACTGGGACTGTCAGATGTGGATATTGAGGAATGTGACGTTGCCCCTGAATATAAAGCTAAACTGGCTGAGCTCATTGTACAATACCAGTCGATCTTCTCAAGGTACAAGCTGGATTGTGGTAAAGCCACTGGTTTTCTACATCGCATCCGGGTCACGGATGAGAAACCATTTCGTTTGCCATGTAGGCGCATACCACCAACCCAGTATGAAAAATTGAGAGAGGCATTGGATGAGATGGAGGAGCGGGAAATCATACGAAAGTCCAGCAGTGAGTTTGCATCTCCCTTGGTGATCGTATGGAAAAAGTCTGGTGACTTACGAATATGTAATGACTTCCGTTGGATCAATGCACGCACTGTCAAGGATGCTCACCCACTTCCTCATCCAGCTGATGCTCTAGCAGCCTTGGGGGGCAATGCCTTTTTCTCAACCATGGATTTAACCTCAGGCTATTACAATGTAGAAGTGCATGAGGCTGACCGAAAGTACACTGCCTTTACATCGCCATTTGGATTGTATGAGTATAATCGGATGCCTCAGGGACTCTGTAACAGTCCAGCAACGTTCATGAGAATGATGCTAAACATCTTTGGTGACAAAAACTTCATGAGCTTGTTGTGCTATTTGGATGATGTCTTGGTGTTTGCTCCAACAGAAGACCTAGCGCTTGAGCGCCTGCATATGGTCTTCCAGAGACTCCAGAATCATAACCTCAAGCTTGCCCCAAAGAAATGTCACTTTTTGAGGAAGTCAGTGAAGTTCCTCGGTCATATCATCAGCATAGATGGGATCCAATCTGATCCTGATAAAGTGACTGCTATCACCAACATTGATGAGTCAGACCTTATGGAGATCGGCACGAATATTCCCTCACAGAGAAAGATTCGTTCCTTCCTTGGCATGGTAGTCTACTACCAGCAGTTTATTGAGGGGTGTTCTGCAATGCCCAAACCGTTGTTTAGGCTGATCTCACCCCCTAAAGGTCCACGTGGAGGTGGGAGAAAGCGCCGCCAAATCCACAAGAAGCTCCATGCTGAGGATTGGACTGCAGATTGTCAGCAGGCTTTCCACCAATTGAGACAGGCTTTGCTAGATTGTGTGGTGCTGGCTCACCCAAACTTCAGTGAGCCCTTCATTCTGTCTGTAGATGCCTCTACCGACGGACTCGGTGCAGTCCTATCCCAAGTGCCTGCCAATGGTTCAACGGCAAGACCAATAGCTTTTGCAAGTAAATCACTGAGTTATGCCAAATCTAAATATCCTGCACACCGACTGGAGTTCTTCGCCTTGAAGTGGGCGGTGTGTGACAAGTTCCATCATTGGTTGAGAGGTCACCAATTCACCGTGTGGACGGACAATAATCCGCTAACCTACATCCTCTCCAAGGCTCGGCTGGACGCATGTGAGCAGCGGTGGATCGCTAAGTTGGCGCCATTCCAGTTCGATATCAAGTATATTGCTGGATCAAAGAATGTGGTGATTGACGCCCTTAGCAGAGAGCCCTTTGTAAAGTCTAGTACATCTCACCGTTTGACAAGAGTACCTTATGATGACCTACTGGCAGAGGCTGCGGCGATTGGTGCTGATGGGATTCAGGAGGTGTTTCGTTGGTCAGCTAACCCGCCTGAAATATCGGAGTGCAACCAACAGATATCTCAAGGTGTGGCGGTTGTCAAGGCCGGAACAGTATCATCACTGGAGGTTGCTGCTGTACTCCAGGGATGCAGTGAAAGTGGTTCAGTGGTGTACCTGCATGCCCTTCTCCTGCCACAGTTCTCGCAGACTGTTCTAATAACACCCCAAGCCAACTCTGAGGTGTTCTCGCTTGAAGTGTTGCGGGAAATGCAGAGAACTGATTCAGTTCTAAGTAGAGTGATCTTCTTCGTAGAGAGAAGGCGGAGACCTTCCAGGAGGGAACGTTTCAAGGAGTCATCAGAAGTCATTAAGCTTTTGAAAGGCTGGGAAAAACTTGCATTGAGAGACGGAGTTCTGTACAGGGTAGCTAAAAACCCTGTCACAAAGAAGAAGTCCTACCTTTTTGTGGTCCCCCGCTCATTGCGCCAGAAGGTGTTACAAGGTGTTCATGATGAAGCTGGTCACCAGGGTCAGCAGCGGACTTTGTACCTGACGAGACAGAGGTTTTATTGGCTTGGCCTAGTGCGTGATGTTACAGTGTATGTACAACACTGCAGACGATGTGTTGTCAGCAAGGCACCAGAGCCTGAAGCCAGGGCTCCTTTGAGAAATATAAGAACTTCTGAACCCCTAGAACTTGTTAGTATCGATTTCTGGACTGCTGAGGATTCTTCAAACAACTCGCTGGATGTGCTAGTGGCTACTGACCACTTTACAAAGATGGCACATGCTTTCTTGTGTCCAAATCAGTTGGCTAAAGCGGTTGCACACCAGTTATGGAACAACTACTTCTGTATCTATGGGTTTCCCAAGCGACTACATTCTGATCAGGGGGCCGGTTTTGAAAGTTCGCTTATTGCCGAGTTATTGAATGTGGCGGGCGTGCAAAAGTCCCACACCACGCCTTATCACCCTATGGGGAATGGCTCGTGTGAGAGAATGAACCGGACTCTAGGTAACTTGATTCGGGACTAAACATCGTTGGCCGGAGGCCCTGAAATCTCTGACGTTTGCCTACAATTGTACGGTGCATGAGACGACGGGCTATGCACCGTTCCTGCTCATGTTTGGGAGGGTGCCACGTCTTCCGGTGGACGTCATCTTTGGTTCGGTGTTCAGTGATCTGGAGGTGGTGGACTATGATCGCTACGTTGAGTCGCTGCGAAAGGACATGAGAGAAGCTATTGCGGTAGCTCAGTCGACAGCAACTAAACAGCTCCAGCGTCATGCTGAACTATACAACCGAAGAGTGCGTGGTGCACCAGTGGAAATGAATGACAGAGTGCTGTTGGCCAACAAAGGAGAACGTGGAAAACGGAAGCTTGCTGACCGTTGGGACAGCACAGTGTATGTGGTGGTTGGAAAGGATGATGAGAACCATACCTTCAGGATCCAGAATCCCACTACAGGCCAAGTAAGAGTGGTCCACCGCAATCTGATAATGCCGATAAACTTTCTGCCATTACCTGAGGATGACCCTGATGACCAGGAGGAGGTTGTGATGTCTTCCGCATCAAGTTCCCTTGACCTAAGTGTTGGGAGGTCAGCAATCAGTGATGTTATTTCTGACTCAGCAGAGTTCAGAACAAGAGTGTGGGTATCTGACCTACCGTTGGGAGCGAGCGACATCACAGATGCAGAAGATACTGAGCTGGTGAAGGGCACTGTGCTGGAGAGAGCCACAGAACCTACTAATTTTCCATCAGAGGGCAGGGTATTACCCCTAGCCCAGCCAGTCCTTGATCAGTTACAACACTCTGATGGAGGCGCTTTGATGGAGGGCAGTTCATCAGACTCTGGTTGCTCAGCAGTCCCAATGTCTGGCCCAGAGACCTTTCTGGCTCCTGTTACTGACACACTCACTGACGTACCTGCTACTACTGCAGCTACAGTGATAGTAGTTGATGGTGTGACGGACCGTAGATCTAGAGCTGGGCGGTTGTTGAGGCCAGTGACTAGACTTATTGAAATAATGCACCAAAGAACAGCCTTAGTTTGAGTTTAAAGCTACAGTTTTATTTGTTTGAAATTTGATCTTAAGATTCTGTAATAATTTTGATATTGGGGAGGAGAGTTCGCAGTTACATGTTGATGAAATATGTACATGGGCATATTTGTTTTTATTCCCTATGTATGTAGATGGGGTTTGGCCAACCTTTTCTCATACTCATCCTCATGGGATAGTCAAAGTGACTGGGTGTTTGTAACTGTGAATTTGATTTTATTGTACCTCACATGTGACTTGGGAAACAGTGGTTGTGTATTGGTTTCCTGTGCATTTGAATAATTTTTTTTTTCTCTTTCCATTTTGTGAGTTTGTACCTGTTGTACCTGTTTGCTTTGCTTGTTGTTATGGGGCAAGTGGAATTCGGCAGGAGGGAGTGTAACATAGTTAATGTGTTATAGAATTCCACTTGTCAAAATGTAAAAATGTAAAAATTGCTGTTTGCATCGCTCATACAAGCTTAATTTCAAAAAGATTTGCAATTTTTTCCACTACGTCAGACTCTCCACCAGTAAGTGAAAATATATTTATGACAAAGAACCTCTGTTAGAAAGGCGAGCTTCAGTGTCCAGCAGAAACCGTAGCTCATCACACATATACACTTGAAAGTACAAATGAACGAACAGTTAGGAGGACCACTTATTTTGAAGATCCACCCGTAAAAAAAAATCCTCCACTGCAACTTTAAGTTGTTTACATCCCACCTGTAGATTATACAATTTTTCCAGTTTTTTGGCAAAAAAGACAGTTTTTTTTTAATCTATAATAAATGTTGTATGCTTTGTAAGCTGCTTTGGTTTTCCACTGTGAACTCTCCATGTTCAACTATTTTGAGTGAATTTAAAGGCAGCTTTTTAGACAAGAACTGACTTAATGATATGGAGGGAGACACTCATTTAGTGATGGCTTTTGTCCTTGGCTTTGGAAAGATGCCTTGGACATGCGGGTCAGCTTTAATAGTGATTGAGCTGCTGGTTCGTTGCCAGCTGTTAATGTAATTAGCTGATTTTTTTCTTAATGTACAAAGTTTGAAAGTCAGTCAGAGCCCAGGAAAAAATCGGACATTCCAACTTTAATCTAAAATTACCAATTAAAATATATCAAATAATTATTTATTTAATTGTAACAACTGAAAAGATTAGCTGTGTCATGATCGATTTAAGAGATCTGACCCACATGCAGAGAATCACTCAGAGAACCAGGGGAAAGTTTAACAAGTTTAGTGAGAAGACTGTACAGGAGTTGAATCTGGAACCCAGAGAACTGATGAACCGGAACTGGAAAGTCTGGAGAGGAGATCACAGTGGTCAGTTCATGGGCCGTCGGAAAAACTAACTGAATCTTTAGTTCAGTGGAAGCGGGACTCACATTTGAGGGGGTTCTTGTTTTTCCTTGATACAGTAGGTGTGGGTTTATTCAGAGAAGAGGGAACTCATTGGAGAGTGATCAGGTAGACATTCGTTGGACCCTGAGCAGCAATGGAGCGGACTGTAACTTGGATTTCTGATGGGGACTTGAACGGCACATGTGGAAGATTTCCCCTGCTCAGTGTGAACTCAGTTAATCCTTCCAGGAGGAGAAGGCCAGGCATCCAGTTACACAGGAAGGCTTCCTGCCGAAAAGGCAAAGACAAAAATGAAGTTAGACTCAGAGAAACAAAGGCTCAGATTAGACTCAGCTAAACTCAGCTTGGCTAGAGTACCCAAAACTGGCAAAACATTCTGGCGTAGTAGGTAGTGACAGTTCGCCCCACAAATACTCTTCAGTGATGAACAAACGAGCCGCAGGTGTGCAGGAAGGCCAATGAGAACAGGGTACCACCTGGTGGTGGAGGGAGAGAAAAACACACAAACTGGATTCCTAACAAGCTGCTCATCTGAATTTGAGATGTTTTCAATGTTATGTATAATATAATCAGTTCTGCTCTGTGGTATAAAAGTAAAAGTAATGCAGGAAAAAATGTTAAGAACTGAAGCTTTATTGCACTATCCTATTAAAGGAAAATCTTTCTACAATTCTGGATGATAACTTCCTTAGCCTCTTTAAACCAGTCGCGGCGACACGGTGGGTTATGTTAAGTGGGGGTAATAATTCAGAATGCATAAAATTCCACCGGTAAACACCAGCAGGTGGAGCCATTGTGCACAGCTCCAAGCTGATACTATAGGTTCCAAACCCCACAGCTCTGGAACTGTTATAGCTAGAGGTCTGATATTTTCTGCACTTGTGGTTGACATGATGTGGAGCAAATCTAATACAATGAAACCTGCCTTTTCTCAAGAATGTCTTTATTACAGCTGTTAAAACAAAGACCTATCATTTCCGAGAATAAAAAAAACAACTTTGAGTCATGTTTGAACTGATGCAGTTTGGTCTGTGTTTTATTCTCCCAATTTTAATTTATATATTCAGAAACTAGAGGGTGTTAGCTTTCAAAAAATATATTGCACATGTAATTCAGTTCCTGAGTTATTTGCTTTTCCATTTGGGTATGCAAAATAGGCGCAGATCACCCAAAATGAGATGGATGTTTAGAGGTTAGACTTCTTTTTCTTAGATTTATAACTAATGGTAACAGTGTAAAAATTTTATTTTGCATCATCTTGAAAAACTATTTATTTTGGTTTGTGGTGAGCAACAAATTGGGGCAGCACCGAGTCCAGCAACGGACAAAATTAATTGTCTGGATAAAAAAAAAATATTTTTATGTTTTTTTTTCATATAACAACAGGCCATAATGAAAATGAGCTTAAAGGGATAGTTCGGGATTTTTGACATGAATCTGTATGGCATCCCCATCACCAGTGTCATGCAACACACTGACTTACCCCTGGCAGCGTCCTGTTAGCAGAGTTCTCGTCCACTTTTGGTCAAGCCGAAAGTAGTCCGGCAGGTTTGCTAGACCCAGCGAAATAAAACGTTTCTCTTCCCAAAACATTATGTGTTCAAAAGAGTGATATTTTTGCATCCCAAAAACAGCTAGGAGCTAGGCGGAGCGAGACATGCATCTGGCTGTTGTCAGGTTAGTAGGCCCTAGCTCTCAGGTCAAGGTGTCGCGCGCACTGATACGAATAGAGAGAAAATAGGACCAATTGATAACGACGTGTGACTTTTTCCACTACAATGTTTTTGGGATGCAAAAATATCCCTCTTTTGAACACATAATGTTTTGGGAAGAGAAACGTTTTATTTCGCTGGGTCTAGCAAACCTGCCGGACTACTTTCGGCTTGACCAAAAGTGGACGAGAACTCTGCTCACAGGACGCTGCCAGGGGTAAGTCAGTGTGATTGCATGACACTGGTGATGGGGATGCCATACAGATTCATGTCAAAAATCCCAAACTATCCTTTTAAATTGTCATGATCTGGGCTTTTTGCTCTCCCTTAATTAGTCATTCCGTTCACCTGTCGTTTTCCCTCCCTGCCTCAATTATAATTTATTCCCCTCACCTGTTTCCTCTGGGTTATATTCAGTTCAGCCTGAGCATTCAGTGCCAGATCATTATTTGTTTTTCTGTCAGTCTGTCTGTTATTTTGATTTCTTGGTTCATGTCCTAGATCACCTTAATTTTTCATTTAACTGACCTGCTTAACTCTGCCCAGTTTCTAATCACTCCTCATCCTATCCACCTGCATTTCGGCTTTATATTCGGCTCAGGAGGAGCTATCGCAGCCAGATCATTGGTTTGGGTTTTGTGGTCTGTTTAGTCTTAAAAGTTACTCTTCACATATGACTGAGTTTAATTAACAATGGGTGGAAGTTTCATATCAAACCTGGTTGACAGAAACCATGTGCAGCTGTCACAAGAGCAGAGAGGGGTTCTGCAAAGAACTAGCATACCACATTTTCTATATTTTGATTTAAAAACGTGGTAAAACCTTTTTTCTTCTTCTTTACTATTACAAACCACTTTGTGTTGGTTTATCACATAAAATCTCAATATAAAACAACTTTCATTTTTAATAAGACAAGATAAAAAAGGAATGATAAGTAAGAACAGTTTCTACATTTAGTTTTCAGTCCTGCTAATCGACTGAACAATCTCAAATAGTTTAGTTAAATAACCTATCATACTGCTAAACGTGTCAAACTGTGTGAGTTCTGTTGTGATGGAAATCCTGCGACATTGATATTTTCCTCAGTGCACATCTTAAAGAAAGATTCAGGAGCCAAAATGACAGGATAAAATTCAGACATTTCTACAGAAAACTAGTAAATAAGTGTACCACCTTTCTCCAGCAGAGTGCGCCGTGGGTCTCCTGGGCTGGAGCCCTCCAGCACACCTGGATCTCGTCAGCCCATCAAGGAGACCTTCTCTACTTAAGCAGCTGCCAGACCTTCCTTCAACGCCGCAGTGTTGACCAAGTTTGGTTAGCGAACCTGAGCCTCTGATAACTACTAGAACCTTTGCCTCTTAGAGAAACCCAATTCTAACCTGCCTCTGTCTTCTCGCTCCTAGGAAACCTGTCTCTCGTCTGAAGCTCTGTATGAGCTTAGCCTGTTACCTGCCTGCCCTAGAGAGCCAAACCTGAAGATCTCACTCTGGAATCCACCTGCTGCTCTCAGGGAAAGAGCCGATCAGTTAAACCAAGGTCTGTCACTGGAAAGTCAGAAGCTAGACGCTGCTGCTGCTGAGCACTCTGCTGAACCAACAGTCTCTGGACCCAACCGGTTCCCTCTCTCAAAGGAGAAAGCCTGAACCTCTTCAAGGTATTTCCAGAAACATCTGAAACTCAACAATTCACCTGTTTAACTGGCTAATCAAACTATCCGTCTCTGCAGATGCCAGAGAATCCTGCCCGGACCAGTTTCCTGAATCCAGTCCTTATAAATTGTTTGTGAAAACTTTCAATAAACTCTGTTGAACTTTTTATCAGTATCCAGTGGTGTTCTGCATGTGGGTTTAATCCCTAAACCAACCATGACAGAACACTGCGGCCAAACACAAAGCCCAGCAGATCACCTCCGGAGGAGGCTTGAGGAGCAGGATGCCCAAATCCTTGGACAAGCGCACACCCTCCGTGAGTTAAACCGTCAACTTGAATATCAGAACCAAGTCTTGCAGAATTACCCTGGCTACATGGCAAATGCTAACGCTACGCCTGCAGTCCGTCCTGTTCCGGAACCACTTCCGCCACTAATGTCACCGTCTGTGACGTCATTTCCTGAGTTCTGTCCGAGTCCTCCTGAAAGATATTCAGGTAATCAAAAGGAGTGTAAAGGATTTTTGTTTCAGTGTCGTTTACTTTTTGAGCACTCACCTGGCAGTTTTCCAAATGATAGGAAAAAGATTCCCTTCATTGTCTCTCAGCTTACTGGACGAGCCCTGGAATAGGCGGAGGCAAGGTTCTCTTCTGAGTCCAGCTTTTCATGTTCTTTTTCAGAATTCATATCTGAGTTTTCTCAAGTTTTCAACCATGACTCAGATAAAACTATTGATTCCCGAGCCCTGCAAGATTTAAAACAGGGAAATTCCACAGTAGCTGAGTTCTCCATTGACTTCCGGGTTAAGGCCGCAGCCTCAGGATGGAACGAGTGCGCACTTAAGAGTGCTTACTTTAAGGCTTTGAATGAGAACATTAAGGATGAACTCGCCACGATAGACAAGCGTGCTAGTTTGGAGGATTTAATCCGTTTGACCATCAGGTTGGATAATAGACTTCGGACTAGAAATCACTCAAGGCAAAGAGACCTGAATTTTTCTGTTTCATCTCCTGCTTTTAATAATGCTTCTGTTTTTTCTGGATCCTCAGAACCCAGTACCAAGCCAAGGTCTAAGAATCAGACTCTCCCAGCGCCTGTCCAAATCTCTCATTTCTCTTCCTCAGAAGGAACGGAGGCCGAACCAATGCAAGTTGGACACACTAGGTTATCCCCTGAAGAGAGGCAACGGAGATTTAAGGCAAAACTGTGTCTGTATTGTGGTGAGACCAACCCGTCCGTGGAGGATCAGGAATCAGAAAGGTGGAATAACTCTTTATTTTTTTCACTTTTACCCGATGTATTCCAGCATCCAGCTGCCATGCACGTGGGCATTGTCAGTTTCACTATAGCTCTGGTGAATTTCAATGGTGAAGTCCTCTGGAAATCTTCAATAATTGTTGTTGATTGCAGATGTGTCTAGTAGTTCCCATTGATTTAGCTTGTAAAGCGGGGAGAATGGCGCTAGGCTTACCGCACCGTGACGTCACTGCTGGAAGATGGCAGGAGGGAGGGGCTACTATATTTGGGCAAAAATGGCCGCTCCCAGACTGAGTGATCGGGATTAAACTAATTGTTTTTATTTTTTTACTGATTAACCTTAAATTTATTAAATCACCGCAACCATATTCATTTTAGGTATAACCAATGATCCATTTATTATTCCTTGCTGACCGGACGTCTCCTTTAAGTGCACCATTTCCTGTTTAAGAACTATAGCCTTTAGTCTTTTAGCTAACACCTTCCTCCAAATATCCAGTCAGTTCAAAGGAGAATATAGTCATTAAGGCACTACTTCAGTTCATGCTTATAGAGTTGTTTTTCCAACTTGTAAGTAACTTGCTTCTGAAAGCCAAGCATGCTCAAATAAAAGATGACAAGCCGCTGTAAACACCTCCTCCAGGAAATAAATGAAATTATCTCACTCTACAGCATGCATCCTTACAGCAGTCATGGTGTTTATAAAGACTGAGTCGGATTTGTTCCCACTCTTTTTTCAGAGGGGTTCTTGGTGAACTAGAAGCCATAGAAGCATAAACACTAAAGACATTTCTAAAGACTCTGTTTGTAATTGTTTATTCATTTTCTAGTAAATTGATAACTTACCTCTTACTTTTATTGCAACTATGACAATATCCACTGTTTGTGTCCGATTGAGGAAAAAAATGTCAGTCAGTTCTCCTCCAGCAACACAGGGTAAGTACAAAGGTAAGCTTAGGATAATCAGCTTGGTAGGGAAGGGAAGAGAAAATGTCACAACTGTCTTCTTAGTTATTCACTTTTACTTTGCACTTTTGTGTTATAGCAGCTGCTTGATTGTTGCGCCATCACCAGAAGCTTTACAGTACAGGGAGCAGGAAGGCGGTGACCTACAGTATCCGGCATGTTGCTCTGTGTGCAGCACACACAGGCGGCAGAACCAACAAAAGCCAACAGCGACAGAGAGACTCCACTGCCGTTACAAACACTGCTCCAAAAAAATTTAGGGAATACTTTGAAAAAAACATCCCTCATAGAAAAAAATAATCCTGTTGGGTCCATACTGATGTGGAACGGGTAATGTTGAATATTTCTGTTGGAACAAAAATGATTCCACATCATTTGATTAATATATGGGGGGAAAAAAGCAATACTAGGCAGTTACCTAGGGCCCCAAGTTCCTGGGGGCCCCATAAAACTCTGTTTACATGTATGGCTAACACAACTATTCCTGATTTGTGCACATTAATTATGTTTTGATAAAAATCCTTTTGCTAAAATGCCATCAGAACCTTTATAATACAAAGTGTGTCTCAGCCCCCCCCTTCAGTGTCCACCATATTGGATCAGTCCATTTGCTGCACGTGTTCAGAAAGGTCCAAACAGACAGCAGCAAACCATTTGAAAACAAACCATGCAAAGAGCAGTGTTGCCAACTTAGCGCTTTAGTCGCTATATTTAGCCACTTTTCAGACCCCTCTAGCACTTTGATTTCTAAAAAGCTCCTAGCGCCAAATCTAGAGACTTTTTTCTGCTACTGGAGACTTTGGAGACAACATCTAAAAGCAGCGAACTCTGCTCTCCAGAGCGAGTAGATTGGTAACCCCGCCTCCTGCTCTCCTCTATCTTCAATTCAATTCAATTCAGTTTATTTATATAGCGCCAAATTCACAACACATGTCATCTTAAGGCACTTTACAGTTCAACCAGATCATACAGTCAAATTGATACAAAGTTTTCTATCTAAGGAAAACCAGTTGATTGCATCGACTCATTGACTTGAATACAATCCCTCACACTAAGCATGCTTGTAGCGACAGTGGAGAGGAAAAACTCCCTTTTAACAGGAAGAAACCTCCAGCAGAACCAGGCTCAGTGTGAGCGGCCATCTGCTGAGGCCCACTGGGGTTCAAGGAGACAGAAGCAGAGATACAAAAAGCAGCTGAAAAGGCGGCCCCATCCAGGAAAACACAGCCAGGCAGACAAGCTCCAAGGCAGCTCCCATGTCAGAGGATGAAGAGAGCACATCCACTCAGTCACGGCCAGAGAAACAGGACCACACTGGAAAACAGGCCGATCTCCAACATCTATAAACAAAGGTGTTGATGGAAGCAGCACAGCTGATGTTTCTTTCCAGGATGGAGTCACAGCCAAACAGGAACAGACGAGGCAAAGCTACTCTGAGGAAAAGCAGAGAGAGCAGAAGGTTAGAGATTGAACTAACAGATTCTGCAGAATAGGAGAACAGAGAGAGAATGAAGCAGAATGATGAAATGGGGGTCCCTATGTCCTCCAAAAGTCTAAGCCTATAGCAGCATAACTATAGAGATAGCTCAGGATAACCTGAGCCACCCTAACTATAAGCTTTATCAAAAAGGAAAGTTTTAAGCCTAGCCTTAAAAGTAGACAGGGTGTCTGCCTCACAGACTAAAACTGGTAGTTGGTTCCACAGGAGAGGAGCCTGATAACTAAAAGATCTGCCTCCCATTCTACTTTTAGAAATTCTAGGAACCACTAGTAAACCTGCAGATTGAGAGCGAAGTGCTCTGTTAGGAACATAAGGAACAATCAGATCTCTGATATAAGATGGAGCTTGGCCATTTAAGGCTTTATATGTGAGAAGGAGGATTTTAAATTCTATTCTGGATTTAACAGGAAGCCAATGAAGAGAAGCCAGGATAGGCGAGATATGATCTCTCTTTTTCATTTTCATCAGAACTCTGGCTGCAGCATTTTGGATCAGCTGAAGGCTTTTAACTACAGTTTGTGGACTTCCTGATAGTAAAGAATTACAATAGTCCAGCCTTGAAGTAACAAATGCATGGACTAGTTTCTCAGCATCACCCCTGGACAGGATATTTCTAATTTTTGCAGTATTCCTCAGATGAAAGAAGGAAATTCTAGAAACCTCTTTGATATGGGATTTAAATGACAGGTCCTGATCAAAAATAACACCAAGATTTTTTACTTTATTATCTGAAATCAGTTTAATCCCATCCAAATGAAGTGACTGGCTAATCAGTTTCTTTTTCAGAGACTCTGGTCCAAAGACTATAACTTCTGTTTTGTCTGCATTCAGAAGCAGAAAATTAAGAGTCATCCAGGTTTTTATGTCTTCAAGACATGCCTGTAATCTATGTAATGGGTTAGCTTCATCTGGATTTATAGACAGATATAGCTGGGTATCATCAGCATAACAGTGGAAATTAATCCCATGCTGTCTAATAACTCTACCAATTGGGAGCATGTATAAAGTAAAGAGAATTGGTCCTAGCACTGATCCCTGTGGTACTCCACAGGTAACCTTTGAGCGTGTTGAAGATCTATCATTAACATGAACAAACTGAATTCGATCAGATAGATAAGATTTAAACCAGTCTAGTGCTGTTCCTTTAATTCCAACAAAATATTCAAGTCTTTCTAAAAGAATATTATGGTCAACTGTATCAAATGCAGCACTAAGATCCAACAGGACGAGCACAGATACAAGTCCATTATCTGAGGCCATGAGAATATCATTAGTGACTTTCACCAGAGCTGTTTCAGTGCTATGATGAGCTCTAAAGCCAGACTGAAGCTCTTCAAAAAGTTCATTATGGTGTAAGTGATCGCAAACTTGTTTGGCAACTACTTTCTCAAGAATTTTGGATAAGAAAGGAAGATTGGATATAGGTCTATAATTGACCAAGTCATCTGGGTCAAGAGACGGTTTCTTAAGCAGAGGTTTAATTACAGCAACCTTAAAAGCTTTAGGTACATATCCCTGTAACAGAGATAGATTAATCACATCTAAAATGGAGGAGGAGATCAAAGGGAATACCTCCTTAAATAACCTGGTTGGAACTGGATCTAACATACAAGTTGAAGGCTTAGATGAAGACAATAATTTTGCTAATTCAGAGAGTTCAACTGGATCAAAGCAGTCTAAACCCGGTTCAGATTCCATGACTACCTCAGGTACAATCGCGGATAGAGGAGTGCTTATGATCTTATTTTTAAAAAGATCAATCTTATTTATAAAGAATCCCATAACATCATTGCTGCTAAGAGCAGGTGGAATGGACGGTTCAACAGAGCTATGGCTCTGGGTGAGTTTGGCAACTGTATTAAAAAGAAATCTAGGATTATTCTTATTCTCCTCTATTAATGAGGAGAAGTATGCTGCTCTTGCTTTACAAAGGGTCCTCTTATACAGCAGTAAACCATTTTTCCAGACTAGGAAGGACTCCCGCAGGCCTGTGGAGCGATATTTTCTCTCCAGTTTCCTAGCATTTTGCTTCAAAGTATGCAGCTCTGCATTAAACCAAGGAGCAAGCTTTCTATTTTTAACGGTTTTCATTTTCAAAGGAGCTGCGTTGTCTAAGGCAATACGCAGAGAACTAGCAACCCCATCAACAAAATCATCAACCTGTGAAGGGGAATAAGCTAAGCTTTTGCACTCTGCAGCACTGCTCAGCGACACAGAGGAGAGAGAAAGTGAAGCAGATTCTTTAAAATTTATAACTGCACTATCTGATAAAGATCTACTAAAATTGAACCTTCTTTTGGGGGAGGAGAACTCTGTTAAAGTAATCCTGAAGGTTATTAGAAAGTGGTCAGAGAGGACAGGGTTGTGAGGAAATACTGTTATTTCTTCACATTCTATGCCGTATGTCAGCACAAGATCCAAAGTATGAAGATGAGAATGTGTGGGACTATTCACATTTTGAACAAAGCCAATAGTGTCTAAGATAGCATTAAAGGCTGCTCTTAAGCTATCGCCTTCAATGTCAACATGGATGTTAAAATCTCCCACTATAATGACCCTGTCAGTATTTAATACCAAATCAGAAAGGAACTCTGAAAACTCATCTAAAAATTCAGAGTAAGGACCTGGTGGACGATACAAAGTTACAAAAAGAAGAGGTTTTCTTGCCTTGAAATTTGGATCAGGGAAATTAAGGGTTAAATGTTCAAAAGAGTTGTAGGAATTAATTGTTTTGGGAGTAATCAGTAAGTCAGACTGGAAGATTGTTGCTACTCCTCCTCCTCGCCCAGAACTTCTGGGTATGTGAAAATTTAAATAGCTTGAAGGAGTTGCCTCATTTATGCTCACATAATCCTCTTGCTGCAGCCAGGTTTCTGTAAGGCAAAACAAGTCAATGTGATTATCACAAATCAAGTCATTAACTAGTAGACTTTTAGAGGAAAGCGATCTTATGTTAAACAGACCGCATTTAATTGTTTTAACTTTTTCCCCAATTGGAGTTATTTTGATTTTAATTAGATTATCATGATTTACTCCTTTGGGAATCTTTGCTAATTTATTAGATTTTGGTTGTGGACAAGACACTGTCTGGATGGAGTAAAGAGTGGGTAACAGTAGAGAAGCTGCAGAGATGTGTGTTAAACTACAACTCTGCTTCCTGGTCTGCACCCTGGGTGGTCAGGGTTTTGGAGGACTAATAAATGTGGCCAGATTCCTAGAAAGAAGAGATGCACCATCCAAAGTGGGATGGATGCCGTCTCTCCGAATCAGACCAGGCTTTCTTGTCTGCTGTCATGATTCATGCAGCTATTATTTCATCCAAATGAAAAATGGAGAACAGATAAGCAGATCATGGCTTGTCTACAGTGAAAAGAAGGACTGGGTTATTCATAAATTAATTAAATCAATATGAATGTATTAGTTTAATGATGCATTGATTATTCCTTGCTGCCCGGACTTCTCCTTTAAAGAGGCATTAAAGTTTCTAATCATTGTCAT